CAAATCGGCATAACCGTTAAATGCACTTTGATTTGCTTAACTTTCGAACTGCCGATTCATTTTCATCATTGTATCTACACAATATGGAGAAGGAAGGGTGGATGAATTATTTCATTGGACTCACCCCAATATTCACGTAGGCACAACATAAACCAAATTTCCATTTTGGCGTTCGCCTTCAGCGAGCGCTACATAACTCCCACACGTCGCAAACCACTTCTCCACATTCGTATTCTAGACTATTTTGACGTGTGGACGATATAGCATTCGCCAGTTAAAGAACAAGGCCACGGGTTAAAGAACACTTTTCTCACGAGTATCGAAACCATTTTTTCATCGCAATGCATGTGAAGTGGGAATTTGTGGACACGGGGCATCGTGTGATGACAAATTGTATATGTGACACGTGCGTACGAAACAATGCAACCTTACGTATTTGTAACACAATATCCTGTATACAAATATTTATTTAACAAAGAATTCTCCCAACCTTTGAAGTTAACTGAATCAAGTTCTGCCCCAATCTTCCCCGTGAAAAAATAAAATTCAAGTGTATCTAACCAAAATAATTCAGCCATTAAACGTTTTTCTTTCCATTCATCACGGTCTTTATCGACGATTCTTACCCTCCTCACCCTCTCTCCCGTTCGTTCAGGAACAAAGTGGCATTCATCAACGAAGGACAGCATAAACCATCAAATCATGCTCGTTTCTTTAAGGCTTTTATCGTGGTAAGCCAAACGAGAACTCCATACGCAGATTCATGAAGAAATGAAAATAATGGAAGAAAAATGAAGAAGAAACACGGAAAGAGGGAAGAATAACAATGACTCATTTGTTAGGTAGCCCATCCCTCTTGACACTGTCGAGATGCACAATGAAACATTATTATCAGCTATTCATCGAGGAATTGCAGTCTTCAACCTAATAGTCATAGTCATTTTTTTTACTCTTCGGCTCCCACGATTTTCATCATCCTCTTAAAAATTGAGATATAAAGACGTCTGCTGACCCTTCTAAATAAATATTAAGAGTGTATGAGAATTCATTATTATTTTTTTTCACTGTTTTAAGTGATCAAAGTTGATAACTTCATAATTAGATTTCACTGGTAGCTTGAGATACATAGACATTCGTGAGACAATAGTGTATTTCTTATCTAGTGTGGAAACCCTTCGGAAAGAGGGGCTAGAGCTTCTATTTTTTTGTATGTGAAGTTCAAGGTCGTGGTAGAAAGATCTCAGATTACTTTACGTTACAAGGTGGGAACTTGCCGCACTCCGTGAGGGATACAAAGGCTTTAAGAAAATGGAATTTTCAAACAAGTAAAGAAAAAGATTTTTTTCCATATAAAGTCATTGCTTTGTTTAATAGAGATAAATCATAGTTTTAGATAAGTAAGCCAAGAGCAAAAGGAATAATATCATACCCCATTCGAAAATGATTGGTCTCCACTAAATGGGGGCCATCTCCCACCCAATCTTTTTCTTCAAGACATGATCAAGTGGAAACAAGGTCGTATGAGCCGTAGGCACGAGTTAATTCTCTCTCTCTTTTCACATCCTTCTGAGTAAAATGAAGAGGAGAGAGGATCCCCTTTATTGTGTGCGAAGAGCACCAAAGGGGACGAAAGGAAGGTGACGTTAAAAACTGGTTCTCCATTGCCTCAATCCTTCTGTTCGTGTGCCTTTCGATAGAGGGATACGAGTATCCGCAACAACTGCAAATTCACGCAATTTTTGCATTTCAATAATTTTTTCAACAGAAATTGAAATGTTTCATGTCTTCATTGATTCAAATTTTAAAATTATCACATTAAAGAAAATTTCAATGTTCACATGTAGTGATAATTCATTCAAAAGAAATTATGGTTCTCACTTCTGGATACAAGCATCATCACCGGTCATTTTTTTCATTAGCTAAGTATGCTTGTAATTGTTTTGAAATTTTCTGATACATGATGACATGTACATCACTATTTCAATCAATCAGAATATATCACCACTACAAACCACAATTTTAACTCGTAATTAATCTTATTGTAAAGTTAATACAATAACTTCCGTTCTTATTGTGAGGTTATACTAATTGTATTTACAGTCTTGTATAAAAACAAGACTGGATCATATTTCCAGTCTTGTATAAAAACAAGACTTGTCCGAAAATACAGCTATTTCTTTACAAACCATGTTTGGAAAAAGATTGAGCTTCCATACGAACGATCATTTACGATAGGATTGGTAGAAATGAAAAGGAAACGTGCAATAGTTAAAATTTTATAGTCGAGTTTATACTTGAAAGAACGCCCAGACGCCGAGGGTCGGCCAGTTGTTGACTAATTTTTCTTTTCAATTCAATTGAAAAGATGATCTCGTCATTATAAAATGATTCCGATCAATCCCTGATTTCCACCCTCTCGAAAGTAAACGAGAATTTTTTACAAGGTTGAGGAGCTTGAAGTGCTATAGCCTGATTTTCTTTAGAATTTCTCTGTAGCCCGTATGGGAAATACGATTTATCGTTTTTTTTCAGTTGTGTGTTCGATTGCGATTCATCAAGCACCAAGAAAATTTATTTCCTACGTCTTTTGTCAGTTTGTGACAAAAAAGTTGAAAAACTTCAATTTCAACCATTGCGGTATCTTTTATCTGCTTCATTCTTTTCATCATTTCTCACAAGTAGAACAAGTGTTTTGAGCCATACTAACAATTGTGCTACGTCCTGGATCTACTTTTTCTCAATTTTTTCGTTCACAATTTATCAATTTACGTTGAAAATCTTGATGAAATCTTTAGATAATATTGACTATTTTTCCCAATCGGATTTTGACTAATCTAAGCGCAGTATTTGAAGCTACCGACAGTTTTATTTCCGATATTTCCTGCTAGCTTTTGAATACTTCGCAGTAGCTCTTCATTTTTTCGCATCATTTCAGATCGAATCTTGTATTGACAGTATATGGAAATCGAGTTATTCTGTTAACATAATTTGTTCAAATCCTCCCTAAATTACCTCCAGAAGGTTGTCCACTGCACTCTGATTGGGCAAAATCCGATTAGGAAAAATAATCCGACAAATACTCCTCGAGCTTCAAAAAAATCTTTTGCAGAAAAATCCCTTGACACCCTCATTTGTTAACAACGAAGCTATCGGGAAATACCCGATAATTTTGAAGTCCTTGGACTATTACTACTGTTACTGATACCGATACTTTGAAAAATTATTTATTTAATTATTTGACATATTTTTTAAGTGTATAATAAACATTATCTAAAGACTTCATCAAGATTTTCAATGAAAATTGGAAAGTGCTAGAAGAAAAAAATACAATCCACTTTTAAAAAATCCAGTGTAACGATTTCTGAAGCCTCTATTCCGCTTATCAAGTAACGTAATATTATGTCTGTGTATATTTTTTTATGTACTGTAATTTATTTAACAATTGAAAAAATTAAATACTGTTCTGTACTATAAAAAAATGCATACATGTATAGTATATATATTATATTTTATACATTATATCATACTATATTATATATTATATATTATATATGATACAATATATAATATATAATATAGTATACAGCACATAATACACCCCTAAAAATTAATAAGAACGTAAGAAGCAAAAGAGAAACGAAGAAGAAGATGAAGAGGATTCTAATGATTCCGAATAAATTATTCAACAATTAAATTCTCATTCTGAAAAAGTTTGTTGAAACCATTCATTTTTTCTGCATTATTATTATCGAGATCAAAATTAATGAAAGTGAGAAACGGTAAGGTTTTACTATTCTGGCACCCATGGAAAACAATATGCGCGCGAAGCGCGCGCCCTGTTCTAGTAAGTTAAAAATAAAACGTTGCCTGACTCCTACCATGGCTCAAAACACATGTTTTAACAGTGAGAGTTGATAAAACAGAAAATGAAAAAATCATCTACAAGTACTCAAAGGTGGCAGATTACGAAACATTTTGGTACTTGATACGTTGAAATCGGCTGATCAGAACTTGGGTTATATGAAATAAAAAAAATAGAAACCACGAGAAAAATTACATCTTTAAAAGACGGTCTAGTGAAAAATTTTGAAAAAAATGCACCTTTCGATAGTTTTTCAAGTCCTGTGAAAATTCCCGTCCACACCAGTGCATGGGGCTCCTCACTGACTCGGTCATACACCTGGGTGAAAAAAGACGATCCGTTTTGCTGCATTAATTTGCAAGATGCTGTGTGAACGTAAATTTGGTGAAAATGATTCACAGAAGGGGAGAACTTGCAATGAGCCATACAAAAGACGTGTATGCTTGTGTAGGTTCATCGCCGAATATCCATGTCCATATCACCATTATTTACTCTTGCAAAAACTTTTTATTGGCTTTATCAACAATAGACTTGCAACCCCGGTGTGAATCCACACTCTCGCATTCAATCAGTGTTGTTCTAATGCTGAGATTAATGTTTAAATCATAAACAATCTAAAATCATACCACTATGTATTTGCATAGTAAAAGAAAAATTAACTTCAGGTGAAATCAAAACTACTCATATTGTTGCGTATTCCTCTTTGTCGTCCCGACAACTTTTCACGAGAAAGACGGATACGCAACAATATGAATAGTTTATTAATTTTGCAACGTTTTTCATTTTTTATAGAATACCGTCCACGTGTAAAAGTTTAGATGTGTTTCTTTGTTTGCGATGATATGAATTGAAGTTCTGTTAGATATGCGGTTAATTCCGAACTACTGACAAATTCATTAGTATAAAGGAGTGGCTATTAATACAAGAATATGCAAAATCAAACAGGGTACAATAAAATTTTCCTTCACATCCATTAAATTTCAGGGGGACTTTCCCATTTGAATAGCTTTGAATTGACGATTATTTTCGTCTCGCACATATATCCGCAACCAGTGTGCACACACTCTTATCCCGGTGTTGGGACTGGGTAAGATAGGGATCTCCGGCGCGTTGCGAGAGACTCGAGCCTGCAGGCCTTTTCTTATTGAGTCAGTCGTCAGTCAGTCAGTTACTTAGCCACTGCTACGGTCTTCGCAACTGCTCTACGTTTAATCTGTTAGGAATTTCTATCATCAGTACGGAAACATACTCCATCAAAAAAAAATGAATAAATAAATAAATAAATAAAAACAGATATTGTGCGAATAATTCGATTTGATTAATTGATTAAGAACTCTTTATTCGGTCGATTGAGTTGAAGAGATAATAAGATAAAAAGTAATTTAAGGAATCCGTAAAATTTTGAATTTCACGGTTGTTACACGGGGAGTGTTGAACGGTATACCGTAAGGGAAGGCCATTGAGTTGGACTGGAAAGCATCATCCTGGTTCCGCCGCGAAAGACAAGCACCTGCTAACGACGATGCCGTGGGCCTCGTCCATCCTATTTACTGCTTTCCTCCTCCAAATTGGCCAGGTTATTACTAGGCATCATCGATCAGGGAATGCACATAAACCAGAGGGGGATATATCACTGTGGATTGATCGACAGCAAATTAAAATGTTTAGTGGTAAGTTGTAATAATTAATTCGCAATCAATTTTTTGCACAGCAATTGTGCAAATCAAAGCATTATGGAAACGATTTTTTTTTACTAGTAGGAGAGTGAAATATCTTTCAAAATAATAAGCTGTCGATTCAGATTCCATTTACGATTCATTTCCGAAGACTAATTTTTTTTCCTCAATAACTGTCATTGAATGCTTGATAAGGTTTTTGGAATGGTTCCAAAGTTTTGCAATCTTAATAGTTTTGTGTACTTTTGGAGTGGTAGTTCGTATTGCAATGTGAATTTTTGGTTTCTTAATCATTCTTTTTTTATCCAACGGAAGTGTTGACGATCATAATCTTCATTAATCACATAGTAGAATCAAATCTTTCATCTACTGTCAATTCTTCCGTTTTCTCGGTGTCTTTTGTGGGAAAAAATCGATCTTTTTCGTAAGAGAAAAATTTATTTCTACTCTATATTTTCTTCGGAGTTCAATAGGTTTTTATATAAAATAATTTTTTCGAATACTAGATAAATTCTCCAATTAGTGTCGATCATCATGGACATAATTTTCCATAACACAAGCAGAGGTGTGAGCCTATCCGACAGAAGGCATGTGACCGGCACTTTTTCCATTATTAGTCTTTTTTTTTATTTCTACCAATTCCATTGGTAATAAGCTTCCGACTGGATTCGTAACAATTTCCAATCCTTGTAACAGGCATTCAATCGTAACCACATCCTCCAGAGTGTCTACAGGGAGACATTTAACCTTTTAATGAAATTGATTTATACAAAAAGTAAATATCTCGGAAACTGCTCGCCCGACTGCATTTATCCAAAATACCAACCTTCAATATTGTACGAGCTATAATCATGCTATCTTCATTTTTGCTTCCGAATGGAAGCCTTGTATTTGAGCCGTTTTTCGATTTTCAAAGTTTGATAGCAAATGGTCTAGAATGTTATGAAACGTGAAGAAATGATGTTTTTAGGGTCATCTCTGTATGTATGTGTGTGATGATTAAGTTTCACTTTAGGTGCAGTTTTAGCCCGATCAGTCTTGAAGCTCCTAAGATATAACAGTTTCTTTAAATTTCGTTTTTCCTTAATATCTCAAAATCTACTTCGCAGATTTCCTTTTTTTTCAAAATACTCGTCCCGATAGCCTCTATCTAAATCAATCAAAATATATGTACCCGTTCAGACAAAATTGCAAGATATTGCCGTTTTTCCCTCTTTTCATGAAAAATCTTGTTTACACGATAACTTGTGGATGGGCGCAATGGGCCGAACGGTTCTTAAGATATTCAATATTTTGTGTAAATATATTTCTGCGAATATCTCATGAACTACTGGACAGATTTCAATTTTTTTTAATTTCAAAATACTCGTTGCAGTGACCACTATCGAAATCCATCAAAATATGTATACCCGCCCATATAAAGATTCAAAGATATTCCCGTTTTTCTGGTTTCTTTTTCAGTCTTGTATACACGATAACTTGAGAAAAAATGAGGATAGCAAGTTGAAATTTGGTATGATTATAGCTCTCATAATATTAAAGCTTCATATTTTGGATGGGCGTAATCAGTTGAGTGATTTTGGAGATATTCATTATCGGTGTGAGCGTTATCACTTTTTGTTTATGAATTTTCACTTTCATACTGAGGTTGGTTAATGAAACAATTGATTCTCTCAAACTTTTTATTTTATTCCTCGAATTTTTGAAGATTTAATTTCAACAATATCAATTTTTCATTTAATTTTTATAATTTTAGACGAAAAAAAATTAGGTTTACAATTGTCATTACATTTTGAAATTCCCGTATGGAATTCCATACGGGAATATGTAGCAGAAAAACATTGAATTCTATTTCCACGATTTTCTAACTTCAAATAATGAGTTATTTATCAATGAAGTTCGAAAATTATGGTAGAGGTTACTAAAATACAACAATAAACCAACACCTATGAGCGATTATGAGCGGAATTGATACGGATCCATTCGGAAGCTTACTGCCAATGGAATTGGTAGAAATAAAAGAAAGAGAAAGACTAATAATACAAAAAGTAACAGTCCCATGCCTTCTGTCGAATAGGCTCGAACCTCTTCTTGTTTGTCAAGTTATCGTGCGTACAAGAAGGAAAAAATTGAAAAAAAAAACAAAAAACGGCAACACCTCAAAAATTTTGTATGAATGGGTATAGAGGTTTTGATTGATTTAGATAAAGGCCTCCAATACGAGTATTTTGAACAAACATTGAAATCGGTTCAGTAGTTTTTGAGATATTCAAAAAAAAAATGAAATTTAAACAAGTTGTTATATCTCAGGATCTACTGAACCGATCGAGCTGAAACAACGCGCTAAAGCTGAGCTCAATCATAGCTGCAATTAGGCCAAATTTCAGATTTTGCTTCCGAATGGAAGCATTGTATTCGTCAAATCTGAAATTTTCATTTTTTTCTGTGTCAGAATGACTAATTTTGGGCTCAGGAGTTCAAATACGCAGTTTTTCTATCATATCCGTATGTATGTATGTGAGCTTTCTTTTAAAAAATTTAGTTTTTCGACGATCATTCAAAAAATAATCGTTGGAATCGTTTCAATTATGGCTTAAAAAGATTCGTTTCAATAGTATCGTAATCGAGTTCGTAGATAGTGGCGATCGCATCATTTGTTTTTAAATTATAGCCTTAAATTGTATATTGTGTTACTAGTGCGTAAAATCCCACGTTTTTACACGCACGTGTAACATTTAACGTGTCTTATTTTTTGCGGTACCTGCCGAATTCACTGTTCGGAATGGTGGCGGGGATAATGTTAACGCACACTAAACCGTTTCGAAAAGTGCGCTTTTGAGATAGGTATCACAAAAAAACATTTAATGAATGTTTAATCATGGTTTAATCGAGGTTTAATCAGGGTTTAGTCGGAGCTTCGTCAAGGCTTCGGCGGGATTTAGTCGTTGTTTATTCAAGGTTTAGTCGCGGTTGAATCAAGATTTAGTCGAAGGATAATCGTAGCTTAAGAAGGGTGTAACCAAGGTCTTGTCAAGGTTTAATCAATGTTCAGAGGAGGTTTGAACCAACGTTGCTTCTAAATGGAACCCATGTATTCGTCAAATCTGAAATTTTCGATTTGCAATTTTTGTGTCAAGATGATTACTTTTGGACACAGGAGTTCGGCTATGATGTTTTTAAATCATGTCCGTATGCATGTGAGCTTTTTTATCAAATTTAGTTTTTCGACGATTACTCAAAACACAATCGTTGAAATCTTTTCAATTGTGGTTTAAAATATTCGTTTGAATGTTATCTTGATCGAGTTCGAATTTGGAGATGATTGCTTTATTCGTTCCTGAAATATTCAATTTTAAGTGTTCCTTAAGTGTCACCATGCAAGGTCAACATCAACTCACGTTAACTCAAGGTTAACCTAGGCCCATCCAGAGTCAAGCCAACATTGACCCAAGTTCAACCTTGATCTTAATCTTTCTAAGCTCTAAGCAATGGAATGGACCCCTTGTTTATCTACAAAATCCAAGTTGTGACATACATACATACAGACATTACCCTAAAAGCATCATTTCTTCAGGTTTCATAACATTCTAGACCATTTGCAATCAAAATTAGAAAATCAAAAAATCGATCAAATACAAGGCGTCCATTTGGGAGCAAAACAACTTGAATCCATTTATTAAGACTGTTATTGTTCAGAACTGCATTTCCACATTGATTGAGCTTTCAAACGTATCAAATCTATCGCAATGTAAAATTGATCTTGAATTTATTTTGAGTAAGTGCTCCTTCTCTACTGATCAAAATCATCAAACTTCAATGATACGTTGATGTTAAATGATTTCTTTTTCTATGTATACTCTCAACATCAATCCTATGTAGCAATTTTAATAATCAGGAGAATTTGCCCATGGTCATTATGATCATCATCCATTAACAACCCCATAACACTATCCTATCCGGTAAGCAATACTATGTTTCGTTTAAATCTTCATCTTATTTTTTTCATAAGCTAATCCCGAAAATGAGCACATAAATACTACATAGATTCAATTATTGAACTTTCTTCTGTCTGCTGATAACGAATTGGTAGATCGCAATCGAATAATCGCCATTTCGATTAACCGATTGTCAATTCCGGAAAATTATCTCAAATCAAAAGAGAGCATTCCAGAAGCAGAAAGATAAAACAAGGGGTTTTATCTAAATTTCCTTATTGAAGGAAAAATTAATAAATTTTTTTTGTTTCAGGATTAGAGATGGAGATTTATGCAATAAGCGAGGGGAGAGTGCTATCGTATTTACTCGATCCAGAATTCGAGATTAAACTTCCAATAATACCTAGTGAGGTTTCTTATGTAAACTTGACATGGAAGTCTGGCGTTAAGAGGTATACCTACAATTTCTATCAACTGCAATCGCTAGATGAATCAATTCTGAAAACTCCGTCGATTACGATTAAATCGAAGGGTCGAGTGCCAAGAAAACCAAAAGGTAAACAATTTTTCATCTTTTAATGGATATTTACGTGAAACTACAGGTATAGAGAAACATTGCACAGAAAAATATGCACGGAAATATGCGTGGCAAACTTTCCACATATCTTCAATGGAGAACGTTTAATGTCCATAGTTATCTTATGGCCGATTACGCAAAAATCGTAATTTCTAGGAAGACGAATTTTTTCCATATCGAAAATGCTGACCAAGTGCAGTCTGACACATATTAGGGGTATTTATAGATAGCTAAAACTTTCTAAACAGTCATTTAACATGAGAAGTTATGCACTTGTTGTCTCAATAAAATTGTTATTTTCACTTTTTTTTTCAGTTGAATCGAGTAATTCATCCTCTTTTTGTTGTATAACGAATAGAATTCTTTCAATTTTTACGGGAAAGAATGAAAATAGCAGTAACGGAAATCGGGGCTCAATGGGGTACCTAAAATACTTACCAGAACCGCAATAACTATTTTCACGCTTCGTCTGAAACCAGATACATGAAATTTTCAGACTTGAAGCAATCATTACCATTTTAGAAGACTTCGTGTAAATTATTTGAGGGGACACCAGCCACAATCGTGGAAACATCTAGTTCATATTTCCACCTTCGAAACACGGTCATAAAAGGAAAATTTATGAACACAATTCTGAGTTAGCTTATCTACTTCTAATCCTCAATGGATGATGATCATATGAGTTAATTAATTTTGAGTGATATTTTTTCCGCTCAGTTTTGATAATTTCCATTTACACAGGAATTCCAGTGGAAACTCCAAAGTTACAAGTTTAATATTGAATTGAGAATATGCCGCGGTAATGACATTTAGCATCTAACAAGGAACACTAGGTAGGTGTCCGCCCCCGATTTTGATGAAACTTGAATATGTTATAGAGAACTCAAAACTAAGTGCCACGTATTTTTTTTTATCGGCCCATACGCGAGTTTAGGGGGTGAAACTGCCCTCTAAGGTTGACCATCTCCCGGGGTATTCCTTTAATTGCGCACATAGGGAGAATATTTAGACAAATTTTTTGAAATATAACAGAAAGCTCATGGAAACTGATTAAGATAGAATTTTTTTTTTTTTTATTCCGGCCCTTTCTGCCCTCTGATTGGCTAATCGGCCCTATCCAACCCTATGCATGCGGCTGTGGATTCTACACTGCACCGCATTCGCACTCCTATAGAACATAGAAGTAGCATGGGAAACCACAAAAAACCCATGCCGGTACAGGCGGTCACTATATTAGCGACCTCCCGCTCGCCGGAGCCTCCGGTTGAAAAACTCGGTTCCACGGGGAATCGAACTCACAACCTTTCGCACACTAGGCTCGCACCTAGCCGCTTCGGCCATCGACGTCGGTTTAAGATAGAAATTGAAATCATCTCCGAGGGGTGGAATTTCAGAGGTAAACTACCCCCGTGAAAAAACATTTATTCAATAAAAAAAAATATATATCGCTCCGAATTTCATGAAACCAATTTCATTTGAAAGTGCATAAAAAAACACAAAATACCTTTTTTGCATTCTTTTTTAAATTGCAATGTAAAGGCAAAAGAAGATCAATTTCTTGGAATTGGCAACGTAGCATAAATGTAGCAGTACATTCCAAACACTGACAATAATGTTTGTTTTTACCGGTTCTAGGTAAATTCATCCCAATCAACTCATCCCACGACAAATTCATCCCAGAAAATCCCATCCCACGGCAGATTCATCTCACAAATCAAAAGAAAAGCGAACGACGTATTATAATAAAACGAATTTCGAAGAATGTGTATGTCAACTTTTTATTCACAAAAAAACGGTCCCAACTCAAGACATACATCATGATAATAATACAAAAATATGCAAAAAACAGATCAATCGTGAACATTGTGAAAAAAACCATTAAATAAATAACACAAATTCGTCGATGAACATTTACATATTATCTAATAAAAAGTCAACTCTCACATCAACGAAACTGGGAAATGACAGTACCCCGTTCACTTACAACGAATTCTAAAGGCATGTTGTCCACTTTCAATGCTCTATCATATATAGATTTAAACAAATCACGAAACGTCTGCGTCGTTAAATGCTTCACGCTCGACTTGTTCGATAGTCACGCACGATATGATTTAACAATAAAGTAACGTAATTCCCAAGAAATAATCGATTCGAACCGAAATAATATTAGAGCGCTGGACATTGAACGTCAACACAGCGAATTTAATGAGTCCCAGACACAGCAATACACAAATAGAGAAAATGGGATGAAATGGTACCGGGATATATTTACCTGGGATGAAATCGATTTGGAACGAAATTGTAATGGGATGAAAATTTTTGGGACGAAATTGCAGGAGGATGAATTTGTGGGATGAATCGTCCTGGGACGAATTAACTGGATACCGTTTTTACCCCTCCTAGTAATTATCAACTCAAATAATCCAAAGGTAGTCACCTTCCAAACATTATTGTCAGTGTTTGGNACCGGGCCTGATTTTTCAGCTTAATTTTTGGTACAGTCAATATGCAGAATGAATCATATTAAGGATCGTAATGGGTACAGAAATGGTATTCATCAAAAAAATGTTGCAGACCTGAGCAAATNCGCTGTAATGAAACATTGATACCGAAATGCAATGATTATAATAATCACTGGATGATGGCATTTAGAATAGAAATTACCAGTCTTATTGAAGGTCAGATAATTCAGTTTTTTGACATATGACGTTTTTATTAACTTCCCGACCCGAAGGGAGAAAGTTATTGTAATGACCCCGAAAATCGAATGTGGAAATTTAAGCATTTCTCCACGTTTCATGACCTTTGGAACCACTTCTGACCCTTTTCAGGTACCTGTCTGTATGTGTGGATGTGTGTCTGTGACAAAAATTTTGTGCCACGATTCCTCCTGAACAAACGATGCGATTTGACTTTTTTTTTTTAATCGCTGTATTTTCATGTGACTTGAACCTGATTAGATTATGGAGACGATCGTCTCAGCGTTTCTCCAGTTTTTTCCAAAAAACATTTGGAAAAAAGTCGAAAATTAGCGTTTTTTTGTAAACGAGACCATTTCTCCGTGCATAACGATGCGATTTCAAGTTTTTTTTGTTAGAAACGATGAATCTTGATATAACGCACAAATCATGGAATACTGGAAGACATTTAATCAGCAGTTCACTAGCTTTTTTCGAAATCGATATACATTCAAGAAACAATTTTACTTTTCTGATAAATTACATCTTTTCTCGATGCGGAATACGGCGATGTGTGTGCATGGGAGTGTGTGTGAGTGCGAGCACGTGCACGGATTTTCTTGTCTTCTATGGGTATTTCCTCGGAGAAATGTGAGAAAAAGATTGAATAAATACATAATAAAAAAATTAATGAAAGAAAAAACAAATGGTCGGGAAGTTATTGGTGCGACCCGTAATGGGTCATCCAATTCCACCAACCCCTACCGGTCATACCCTAAAGAGGGAGCGCGCGAAGCGCGACCGGGCCTGATTTTTCAGCTTAATTTTTGGTACAGTCAATATGCAGAATGAATCATATTAAGGATCGTAATGGGTACAGAAATGGTATTCATCAAAAAAATGTTGCAGACCTGAGCAAATGGAACAGCCTTCAATATCACAGTGTGGATGAGACGATTGTCCAAATGCAAAATCGACAGGATTTTCAAATTCATCAGGTTTTTTAACAATATAACCACTTTGAAACCAAGCGTAACGAAATAAATTTTGATACCTTGGTGATGATAATTGCTTATGGACTAAAGGCTGTAACTTTATTATATTATTCCTCAAGTGTAAATTAAGATCATAGTCAAGGAGGACAACAGTATCCGAAAAAGGACGGACATAATTTTTCCATATTCTGAAACCATATACATCAAGGGGTTGAATTCTTCCAGTTGTACCCTTTGGTATCAACATAGTTAAGAATTGTTTATTTGGAGTTGCTTCTTGTACCGCTTGAGTAGAGTGCCCGCTCCACGAATCTATCAACAGTAGATTTCTAGGTCCCACATTCGAAAAAAATACTTCCTTCAACCAGGTTTTAGAATGCTCCAAAGAATCAAGTACTTTTTAATAATACCAATTGTTGTATTGAAAATATCATAGGCTCTTATGTCTTGAATATCATCTCACGTGAAGTAAGTTTCCCCGATTTTGAAGCCGTGACGAAAACATTGAATGGTCGAAAAAGATTGTGTTCCACCATTGCGCCAAAAGTTCCGGAAGGTTTTTTCAAAAGCAGAAAGAGAGGTGATAGTAATTTACCATCAACAGAAATGGTGGGTTGTATCGTGTAACTTTGTGTTGTTGAGGTTACCGATTGTACTATACACGCCACTTGTTTCGCGCCTTCCTAAGCTAAAGTACGCCCCGAATGAATTTCTAATTGAAAACCACTTTGATCAGAATTATAGATGTTTTCTGGGCCATAGGTAGCAAAATAAGGCTGAACTTCCTAGAGAAATTCGTCTGATTGTTTTTGTAAAGCTTCTCGAGTCTCCAATGTTTTCCGCGTAACGAATTTATTAATCTTTCGGGATGTAATACGGTGTGCCTTCTTGGAATAATGCAACCACCAGGGCGAAGCCTTGAAACGAACGTCTTTGAATCTGATTTCTTTCTGGGCTTGCAAAGCCCACCTTTGTACATCAGTATCGTGAACGATTAATCCTGCATCAATAACATTCTTCATATTTTTCAATGTGTACTCCGAAATACGTTTCAACTTCTCCATATATGTCCCTCCTTTATTTATTTGGTGCGCCCAGCGTCGTAACTGCCGACTCGATTTCACCTTTTTAAATCGATGTACAACCGTTTTTACAGAAAGGTTTTTCTTTGTTTTTGCACTTCTTCAGAACTCAACTGATCTCTTTTTATAGTCGAAATCTACAGGTTCCTCATCCTCCGGACAACTTTCAGATGATTCTTTGGTATGTGGTTGAAATTCTTCATCCTCGACCGCCATCATTTCCA